TACAAGCCCCTGGGTTCAATTCCAAGCAGTGCAAAATAAATAATAAAAATTTAGAAACACACACACTTCAAAAATGGAATTTTGCACAACAAGGAAGTAGGCATGACGTGGGTCTCACCTCTACCTTTGGGGTTCCAGCCTGTATGGGAAAGTGCATTTTACAGTCACCAAAGCATTCAGTTAGCTTTCTCTGGGGGCATTCCAGTGCTTCCATTACCATCTCCTCTGTCACTGCCTCTCTATCAACCTTGGCCAGTGAAGCCAACAGTTAACACATAAYACCTGAAGTGCTGATTCTTCATCCTCCTCAACCATCTGCACCTCTTCARTCTGTGTGGATGACTCCTAAGGAGATCATACAAACATCATTTTTTAATGATAAAAATTTTCTTAAGGATGTTTCAAATAGCAAAGGATCATAGGTTACATTATWCCATAATTTATTTGATGAATTCTATTCATGAGTTCCTGAGTCAGGCTAAACCCTGCGTTGGCGGTTGCCTGGTAGATATGAGAGAATCTTAGCTTGTACAGTCATCTGCTCTGTTGTCCTTTCAGTTCCCCAAACAACAGATACATTAATTTTCAATTTAGTTTAGAAAGCATTAATAATATACACTGTTTTATATTCTCCGAAAGAATCTGGCCAAGCCATTTGAAGTGTTTATCTCAATGGACAAATTTTGATTATGCAGCCATATCTATTACAATGGTATAAATGATGGTCAAAATTTTTCACCTCTCATTTAAATGCTGTCCTTTTTCTTTCCAAAAAGATAATTGCCACAGTCATACTTGGATTGCTTGTAGGTGCCACTTTCCAAGGGCTAACAAATAGTTGTATGAAAACGGAGAGTAGGTAAGTAAATTTGGATCTTAATTTTGAAAAACTGTTGTTACTTTATTCATTCTTGCAGACATCCATCAATATTTGAATTTATAAGTATGGGCCAGACGTTATTGTTTTGTGAGGTACAATGAGTTAGTACACTGAAAACAGAGTTAATTTCCTTCTTCCCATATGTACATGTATGTATGTAGTAGTAAACTACACAGAACACAAATCTTACCCTTTCAACCATTTTTTTAAGTACACAGTTCAGCAGCATTAAGTGCATTTATATTGTGCAACTATCACCACTATCCAATGCCAGAACTTTTATTTATTTTTTTTTGTTTTCTCAAATAGAATCTGTAGCCCCATTAAAGAGCAATTCCCCTTACAAACCTCTCCTAACCTCTGACAACCACTTCTACTTTCTGTCTCTGAATCTGACAGAAATATGAGCATTAAAATTCTTCWTTTTCATATAGGTACACAAATTACTTTTTTTTTTTTTTTACTCATAAATAAGCATAGCCTTAATTTCTTTTCTGAGCACCTTGGAAACCTGATAGGAAGGTGTCTAGGTCAAGGATATTGGTCAARGCTTTCTGATGGCTGTGTGTAGGGTGTCTGTAGTTAGAGCTGAGTGAGGACTCCTTCACTGTCTGGCATTTCCTTCCATGTCCATCCTACCTACTTTTACTCTACTTGAAAAACCAAATAGCTAATAAAATGTTTCCACTCTTTGGGCTATATGTAGCTCACTGTTTCTCTGCTTATACATCAGAAATGATACTTGGCATTTTCTTTCTTTTTTTAAAATTTTTTTTTATTTGTAGATAGACACAATGCCTTTATTTTGTTTACTTAGTTTTCTTACGTGGTGCTGGGGATCGAACCCAGTGCCCCAGGCGYGCTAGGCAAGCGCTCTACCACTGAGCCACAACCCCAGCCCTTGGCATTTTCTTTAGTTAAGATGAAGATGACAATATTTATATGACCTAAGTATTCATTTTGGCTGCCATGACAAAACACTACTGACATTGTGCCTTAGAAAAGAGACATTTATTTTCTCTCAATTTTAGAGACTGGAAGTCTGAGGTCACGGTTCTGTTCCAGCAATGTCAGACTCCTGTGAATGTCCTTTCCTACCTTCATTCTGTGCCCTGTCWTCTCAGAACATCTGGTTTTTCTCCTTCTTCTAAGGGCACTAATCCTGTCTTGGGTGCTCCACTTTGATGAACTCATGTAAACCGAATCACCTACCTCCCAATAACACCCAGATGGTAGTAATTTCTTCATCTTAATAATTTAAGTGGGGAATTATTCAGTTCCCAGCAAACTAAGACCATGAATTTCAAAATGTGCTATGATATGGGATTATGGAAAATCACKGTGGAAACAGTGGGAGAGAGATTTGATGGGGTCATGTTTCTCTGTTTCAAGCAGAACAGTTCTATTTTTAAAAAATAAATTTTAATGTCATATCATTTGTGTAAAGAATTCTGTGGGTAGGAAACTGATGTCCTATTGAATTGACTGCAGGGTGTCTGTTTCCWTTTTTTCCTGGCAGAGCTGGGCTGCTTCTCGTGCTGGTGGTCTATGAGTGTTTCAGCAGCGTATTAGCTGGGCAGATCTTTGTGGTGGAGAGGAAACTCTTTATGTGAGTAGGTCTATGTTCTAAGAARGGTCATTGGCAGCTGGGAACAAATAGGTCACATAGAGAATTGGGCCAAGAATATGAACCCAGAGATTAGCAGTATTTTTGTTTTCTTTTATTTCTTTAATTGACAGATAGGAATTCTACATATTAATCATATACAGTAAAAGCATTTGCAATATACATAGGGATTTCCAATGTTAATTGAGAAAAAGTAGTCAAAGGTGGGGAGAAAATCAAAATTGTGTGGGACCTGATACCAAGGAAATAGGGAGTCCTAAGGTTAAGGTGTGGTCAGCAAATCCCAGTGCTGCAGAGAGAGAGCAAGYGATCAAAGAGCTAAGGTTGCTGAAGCAGGCCTTGAACTTGTGATCCTTCTGCTTCACTCTCCTGAGCCACTGGGATCACAGGCATTTGCCACCATGCCTGGCTTAGAAAACAACAGGTCTTGATAATGTTTCCAACAAAAGCTTGAGGAGCTTGGAAATGATTAAGTACTGGGAACAGGAGCAAATCGGAGGTGGGAGATAAACTGATGAAGAACGTGACAAGGTTTAATCCTGGTAGATAAAGGAGTGGAAAGARCCAGAAGTCAGCCTTACAGTAAAGAGCAGACTGGGTTTGTCTCTTCTGATTTTCAAACATGGAAGATATTCGCTCATACTTACATGCCAAAGATGAGAATTCTTAGAGGGGAGAGGAATGGAGACATTGGTGGAAGATTTTGGAATTATAGGAGAAAAATGTCAGGAAGAGGAAAGATGGGGATTTAGTAGTGACGGGGCTGCACATTGGAGGTGTGATCATTGAAGGAAGAAATCTTTTTCTTTTTTTTTTTAACATGAAAATAGAAATAAAGGAGTTTAGAGATGTGTAGATGCATTAGTGGCCTTGGAGAAAAACAAATTGCTTTCTTCACACTCAGAAGTGGGGAGAAGAAAAGCCCCTGCTACCACTGAGCTCCTTAATAACTGGAGTTCCGCTCTTCAGTCAGAGCCAGCCTCAGAGGACATACAGGGTCGCTGGGGAGAGTGAGAGATGTAGATGATGTCCCTGGAGGGGTGATGTGCACTATAGTGGGCAGCAGCAGGAGGGGTGCTGTCATGAGAGATGGTCCAAGTTAGAGCCTTGTGGGGCTGATTCCCCAGGGAGGCTGCACTTGAGGGAGAGAAGGGTGTGTGTGGGTGTGTGTGKGGGGGGTCAGCATGGAGCCTATGGGCAGGTGCAGTATCAGACCTGGTGGCAGCAGGAATCTGCAGAGCAGCATCTCATCTGGGCTGTGCCTTCTCGGACTAATCTAAAATGTGTGGTGTTTTTTTTTTTCCCTATAGACACGAGTACATCAGTGGWTACTACAGATTGCCATGTTATTTCTTTGGAAAATTGTTATTTGATTTATTACCCAGGAAGTTGTTGCCAAGTATGCTGTTCATTTGTATTATATACTTCATGGCAGGTAAGTAACAAGACCAAGAGGCTGTCTTGTCCTGGATATGAGGTGAAGCCAATTTTTTTTTTCCCAAGAATCATTTTGGTTATCCAAACTACAAACCAAGGCATGAGATTGGGAAGCATGTTTTCATTATGCATTCTCTAAAATAGCTGTTCTGCTGTGTGTGGTGGTRTACACTTGTTATCTTAGAGCTTGGGTAGCTGAAGCAAGAGGATCATAAGTTCTAGGCCAGCTTCAGCAAATTAGTAAGACAAAAAAAAATTGGGGTGGAGAGGTTTGGGGAAGTAGCTCAGTGTAAAGCACCTCTGGATTGAATCCCTAGTACAAAAGTAAATAAATAAGCAAATAGCTATTCAATGTGGACATTGTTTTCAAGACTTTTAACACATTTGAACTTTTAAAACTATAAAACTACATTATACTGAGAGGTGCTCTGCTTCATATATAAATATGGAAAGAATTTATACTTGAAAGTATGCTGAAGAAACCAGGATGTTTATTGCCTATCTTATTTTCCTCTATAGCTCTCCATGTGTGTTTTTACAAAAATTATAGATAGGTAGTATATCTAATATCTATAGTTTTATATATATATATATATATATATATATATATATATATATATGTAAAGAGAGGTAAAAAGTAATATACACATATATTCTCTCTTCCTCTCATTCTCTAATGAGGGAAAGATGGTGACTTTATAAGTTTATTGATTTAATAATGATACTTATTTGATGGATGTAGGTAGATATATTTGTGCATTATGCTCAGTYTTCACCCCAGGTCATTTCAACTAAATTTTATATATTTTATAGTATAGACACCCCCCCCCCCACACACACACCAGAAATTTCTTCAAAACAAAACCCCAATACATTACTCAATTAACAAAAATACTGATAGAGTTTAAACTTTCTATTTCACAAGTCAGAGATGTGTCATAAAGAATTTGTAATGGAATATAGATGCCTCCCAACCCCYAGACTCCTGATGAGTGTTCTTGGGTCTGTTCCAAAATCTTCAGATTCTGTGACCCRTATCATTAGCTCATTATAGTTTATMAAGYAGTTTAGGAAAATTTCACTAAGCTTCAATCTCAATCACAGGATCATTTGATGGTTTGTCTAGGGGGACATAGATTACAGAGATACTTTACTTTCCCCTAAATATTAAAACTACTATGAGGTCGTGGAATCCTGATYCCAGATTCTTCACTAGTGCGGTTGTCGCACAGTGCATAATGTGGCGACATCTGGATATGAGAAGGTGCTGTTGATGAGTTTCCAATGACAGGAGAAGGAAGCAGAATTTTGGACATTTGTGTGGCTGTATGTCTCCATCTCAGCAACTCAGAAATTGTTCATAGTTGCACATAAAGGAGCTTAGGTGTTATATGGAAAAGTGTTTTTTCAGTAAGTTTATAAAATAAAACAGGATGATATAACTTTATGCACTCATATTCCCCTCCAGGGAAAAAGTGAAATTGATCCAAGAGTAGTTGGATGGTGAGATGGTGACTTTCTTTCATTCTGATATTTGTTTCCCAGAATAATATAGTGCTGTTTGAACAATAAACAATCCTGAATACATGGTGACCTAGGAAGCTGGACTGACCCATTCTGTTCTGTCTCAGGATTGAAACCAGAGGCCGGGGCTTTCTTCATCACGATAATCACTGTTACGATGGTGACGTACACGGCCAGTTCTTTGTCCCTGGCCATGGCCACAGGCCAGAATCTGCACTATCTGTCAACACTCCTCATGAACTTCTATTTTGTATTTATGATGGTGAGTATGAGAGGGAATTTCCCTCCTGGTTTATTCCTGTTCCGCTACCTGTTGTATAAAACCTGCTTTGAGGATTCTGTACATGGAACTCTGACATTTTCAGGAGTTCATAGACTGTGATATAGTTTATTAGAAAAACAGGCCTCTTTCCTCTGCACTGTACTAATGTAGTTCCTATAACATTAACTAACATGTCCTTTCTAATGAGCTTTTAAAAGACATTTCTTGGTGACATATAAAAACTTGATAAATTAAAACTTAAAYATCAGAATAATTATGGTTGGATGATTCCCTTGTAAAACATGATTGGTTGTCAATCTTCCTTTCATGCTGATGTTCTGAACTGCTGGCTGTTTACCCATAGCAGAGATGGTTTAGCTGAATTCACTTCTCTCCAAGTTGAAAGCAAAGCTCCCTGAGAAGGGTAACAGTGTGCAGCACCATGTGGGTGGTATAAGTTGGGTGCCTCTTGTGTTTAGGAAAGGAATGCTTTTAAAATATTGGAAAATTCCAAAGTCCATACTAGGTTACCTCCTTTCTGAGTTCCTGACAACCTCTTATATTAGTAATGCTCCTTATTTCCATGCTTCCTTCCTTCCATTTTGAGATGCTGGGGATTGAACACAGGGCTTCACTTATGCTAGCCAAATATTCTACCACTGAGCTACATTACTTTCTTTTAATTTTATTGTGAAAAAGAATCTCCTTAAATTGCCCAGACCAGTCTTGAATTTAGTCCTCCTGTCTTGTCCTTCTGAGTAGCTGGGATTATAGGCATGTACCACCAGGCCTGGCAGGAACCGATGTCTTTAAGTGCTACATAATTAGCACAAACTGTTGCCAAAATTTAGTTCCTCCATTTATGAATGTGRCAACTCCAAATGTATATCATTGAGAAAGTCCCAAGTCTTGTTTATGTATTTCATATATTATCATCCAATAGATAAAAATGTTTTGTTTGAGTTATTTGATGATGACTGATTATTATGTAAAAGTTTCTTTATGGAACTTTAAAACTGGTTGGAAAAAATGTATTTCATTCAGAGGTGCCTGTGATATAATAAGCACTTTGTTAGGTCATGTCTAAACATATGCAGGCATATCACAACATTGTCATTGTTTTGCACATCCCAGTATACTTCACAGTAGTTAGGACTAGTGTTATGTGAACCTCTAGCTGTCTCTTGTGTGTCTCCAGAAGTCCTTCCTGGCATCTTCACTGTGATACTGCTTTCCGCTATGGTTAAATGGAGGCATTGRCCAAATTTCTGATGGGCTTCACCACATCGTGCTCATTATCAGTTCTAGGCTTCTGGTTATCTTAACCTTGCATTCTGAATGTCAAATTATTTCTAAATTAATGAATATGAAATGTAAAACTTTACAGAGAAGGATATGTGCTGCTCAGGAGTTTTCTGGAATATGTTCCTAGATTGCCAGGTTTATTAGGGGAACAGATTGTGGTGATGCAATCCAAATAGTCATTATAGTTGGCACTTCATGTCCATGGGTTCTTCATCCAAAGATTTAACCAACTGTTAATGAAAACTATACAATCCCATAATTGTGTCTGKATGGAATATTTGCACATTTTCTTTTCTTGTCATTATTCCTTAAACTATATAGTATAAACTATATAGTATGCYCAATGTATTAGGTATCATAAGAAATATGGAGATGATTTAAAATAGACAGGATTTAAAGTATAAATGATGTACTTAGGTTACATGCAAATACTATGTCATTTTGAAAACAAGGGACTTAGCATCAGCAGATTTTGTTATCTGTGATTTGGAGATAAGGGGGATCCTGGAACCATTCTTCATAGGATACCAAAGGATAACCGTACTTCTTAATCTTTCATTGTATACAGTTACAGAAGAAAGGTGAGGACATCGTGTTGATAATTAAGAATCTTCCAAATAAGTGGAATGTATAAATATAGATGATAGGTATATTATCCTTCTTTTTTAATGTTTATTTTTTAATTGTAGTTGTATACAATACCTTTATTTACTTATTTTTATGTGATGCTTAGGATCTAACCCAGGGCCTTGCACATGCTAGGTGAGCGCTCTAMTGCTGAGCCACAATCCCAGCCCTTGTCCTTCTTTTAATACCATAAAMTGCCTTAGCTATGCAGAGACATACACAAGCAAAGGACAAATATTAGTGTTTAATGTAAGTGGGAAGAATTTCAAGAGAGTTATTTCTAGCAGAAATGTTTAGGGGTCTTAGGGTTCTTGAAGAAGGTCTTGTTTAGAATTCCTCATGAAGTCACTGGACTGGTTCTGATGCTTGGTTTTTGCTTYCTGTAGGTTTTTCTGGTTATCTCACTGTATGTTGGAACTATTCCACCTAAGCTTTCTTGGCTTCAGTACTTAAGTATTCCTCATTATGGCTTTAGGGTAAGTTGTCCTCCTTTGTCATCAAGTTGGGTTCCCAAATTGGAAACAATCAAAATAAAAAGCCTAATGATCTAATTTCCCCAGTCATGAGATATGAATCTCCCTTCTGGGAATTGTCTTTCAGGAGGAATGCATGAGTATATCCTCTTAGCCTTGGTTTAAAGAAGGTCTGGACGTCATCTGGGGTTTTCCAAGTCACCTTATTGTTAGAGGAAGAAGACGGTTGGGAAGAAATCTCCTAGCAAATGGGAAAGATTAACTAAATGATGAAAAACATATTGTTGTGTTTTAGTTCAGTAAGAAAATAATCAGAAGAGAGGAGAGTAGAACATACAGTTTATATTGAACAGCAAATAAGAGGAAAAACAAAGGCCACATAATATTCGTAGCTGTATTGATTTAGAAACTAACTGGCTCCAAAGTGAACTTTCTGTTTCATAACATTGTATAACCAAGTTTCTAACTCCCATGATGACAGACGGTTCTGATGACAGTTAACAAGGCCATTACCAAAAATTAACAAAATTCACTGAGTACCATGGTATTATTTTAATTATTGTGTTTGTGGGTTTATGAAATGGGAGAGAAGAAGGAAGGGCTTAAGGGATGATCTAGACAGAGATTTCCATTCTTGGACAATTAAAACAACATCCCCACCAGAGACTTCCTGACTGCTAGGGAAAATACTTCAGTTCTTTAGCGAGTTTCTCTGTGAATGTTCTAGAAACAGTAACAATTAAACTCAAGAACATAATTATGATGATCTTTTGGAAACTTTTTGAAATTTACAACCATTTACCTTATCTCATTCACTCTTGTGTTATAGGCTCTGCAACATATTCAATTTTTGGGACAGAACTTCTGTTTAGAACTTGGAACAATAGGAAGCAATACCTGTAGCAACTATGTGATGTAAGTTTGCATTCAATGTCCCATTGGGTTTGCTAGCTACTGTGGTGTGGTGTAGAAAGGYCCTTAGGCTTAGAACTGGTAAGAGTCATTTTAGGGTCAGCAAACCTTTCTAAACCTGTTTCTCCTCTTAAAGTGAGTCCTTGTGTACTAATGTATGTGAACATGCTGTACAACTCCTGTATTCTAACAGTCAAAATTGTATTTAATGTGGAGAAACCTGTGTTTTGTGCTTTTTGAAATATTGTTTTGATTTTAAATTTCAGTCCTCACTTTTTAGAACATTTGCATTGACATGGGCTCCTTTTATAATTTAGCAAGGGGTTATAGGCTCTGAATATATGGATTATGGGCTACCTGTGAGTCCAGTCCATGGACAGTATTTAAGAGCTAACAGGCAGCAATAGCCCAACAGGAGTGAGTATGGCCCCATTAAGATCCTCGGCCTTCTCTCAGCTTAGATCTTTGACAGAAATCATGAAATCAAAGACTGCATTGTGTGTGTGTGTATGTGTGTGTGTGTGTGTGTGTGTGTGTGTGTGTGTGTATGTAACCTAAATTGGAATTCTCCCTATCCAAGAATGTATCCTCTAAAGAAAGAAACACATATTTCAGTAAGCTGATATGGAAGTCTTAGCTTTGCACAATATCATTAAAACAAATTCAGGTTTTAATAAAATTAGAGGATCTTTTAAACATGTTCTACAATTGTTATTAATGGTTTGATTTTGAAACATTTTTTTCATTTTCTACAATTGTTATTAATGGTTTGATTTTGAAACATGCATTAATGAGAGAAGAGAGAATCCTAGCATCCTAAATATCTCCTAGAATTTCAAAGAGTATAGAAATAATACTTAGCAAGAGCAAAATTTCTATTTTGAATGATGGAGAGGAAAACCTCTAGGGAGAGGGGTTTTCCTTACTTGTGCACTCTCTTTGGTTTCAGATGGGTGTGGCATCTCTGTAACACAGTTGCTGCCCCCCTGCTGTTTAGGGTGAAATGGATGGAAAAAGTAGGACCAGATAAGGAGGAATCACCACAGGTTTCACACTCACAGAAGGCTCATTCTCGCAAGAGGAAGGAGGAAGCTTCTTCAATAGCAAAGAGAGACCAGGGATGTTTTTGAAATGCCTAAATTCTTAGAGATGCACAAGAATGGCAGCAGGCAATAATTGTGGCAGCACCAGGTGTTTTTAGTACCAGCCACTTTTCTAGCCTGTGGCAGGAATGCTGCATCCTGCTCTGCTCTAGCTGCTACCTAAGGTTTGAGTCTGATTCCTGGGCCTGCTGGTCACATCCTGTAKCTGGGTTTCCATACTCCTCAGTAGGGTCTTGGTGTGAGAGCTGAGAGAACATGACTTTGGCTGGAAATTGGCCCTTGCTAATTTTTTTCCCTCAGATTTGGAATTCTTGCCTCAGTTCTTTTGAATGGCTGTCTTGTGAGTGAGTGGAACTGTAGGAGCTTTGACCAACTTAGCAAGGCCTGTAGATACCATCAGGTAAAGCTGAAGGTTCACTATAAGGAATAAGAGAAAGGTCACCTGATCAAATTTTCCTTTTAAGGGAGCATYGTTATAGATCTGGAAAAGAGTGAATCTGAGGAAGCTAAAATTTTGGTTCATAGTGTGACTCTACAAACTTGCCCAAGTTTGTTAAACCTCCTGTTTCTCTTCTTTAAAATGAGCGTAATATCTATACACCTTCAGATTGTTTTAGGGATTAGTAAACTATTAGGTACATGTTGCTTAGCATAGTATCTGGCACAATTGAAGCATTCATCAACTATTAGCTATTAGTTTTAAAGGGCTAACTACCAACAATTTGGTTATCTATAGGCTTCTCTAACAAAGGAACAGTGAATATATGCAATAGAACTTGACACATACTATAAATGTAGTTTTTTTTTTCTTTTATTTCAGATGTACTGGAGAAGAATTCTTGATAGTCCAGGGCATGGATCTCTCACCTTGGGGTTTCTGGCAGAACCTCCTGGGTTTGGTTGTTTTAATGATTTTCTTTCTCATAATTACCTACTTCAGATTGTTATTTCTTAAAAAATATTCTTAAATTCCTCTTTATTTTACTATAAATTACTGTCATATTAAACAGAGAATTGACTTTTCCTCCACTTTTTTATTGTTGCATTGTACTAATGTTATGCTTGAGTATGGGGACCCCCAAAAGACCACCAGAGACTGAGACTGATGTAAGCAGCAAAGAGGTGTTTATTGAGAGCTAGCTYGGACCTCCGCGCACACAGCAACTGGTGACGCTGAGAGGCCCCGAGCCCAGTGTTTGCAGCAGTTTTATACACTCTTTGGGGAAGGCAGGGACTTCACATACATCATAGCATCTCTTAGCAAATCATCACACACCGCGGGAAATCATAAAACAACTCTAAAACATGATTAGCACATCTACTGGCGGGAATAAGTTGGGTAGGGGTGATTGGTTACTACAAGAGGGGGATTCATTTGAACTGATTGATTTAAACCATGAGGGGTGTAAGTGCTGAACTACATGGTTTCCCAACATGTTATCAACCACCATAAACTACTGGGAGGGTCATCTGGCATCCCAGGTATTTTCCCAGTCTCATGCTGATTGGTGGTTGCTAGGTGGTTGCTATGGGTCCACACCTAGCCTGACTGAGTCAGGGACACCTGGATCCGCAGATCTCTCCTGTTATTTGTAGATATACAACTCAGCAGGGTAGGTATGTGCCTAGGAATGCTCTGTGGGATTTTCCAAGGACAAGGGTCATGCCCACTTCCTTGGACAGGCTTTGCTCTGAGGTAGAGGCTGGTTTCTCAAAAATGGAGTCACATCAGTTTCTCACTTCTCCATAATGGTGAAATTCATTGTTACATATTCATATGTGCACACTAATAATATAATTTGGCCAGTGTCATTGCCCAGTATTTCCCCTTTCCCTCACCTCTTTTGCCCCCCATTCCCTTTCTCTACTCTAGTGATATCTATTTGGTTTTCATGAGATTCCCCCACCACACATATCTTTCTTTTCCTTTTTACTCTCTAGCTTCCACATATGAGAGAAAACACATGACCCTTGACTTTTTGAGATTGGTTTATTTCACTTAACATAATCTTCACAGTTCCATCCATTTTCATGCAAATTACTTAATTTCGTTTTTTGTTTATTGCTGAATAAAACTCCATTGTGTATATGTATCACGTTTTCTTTACCCATTCATCCACCTAGGCTGATTCCACAGTCTGGCTATTGTGAAATGTGCTGCTATTGACGTGGGTATGAATTATCAGTATAGTATGATGACTTTAATTCTTCAGGATAAATATTGAGATGTGGTGTAGCTGGGTTGTATGGTGTGGTTCCATGCCTAGTCTTTTTAGGAACCTCCATACTGTTTTCCATAGTGGCTTTAGTTCTTTATAACCTACCAATAGTGTAAAGCTATTCCTTTTCTCCATATTCTTTCCAGCATTTATTATTGTTTGTATTCTTGATGACCACCATTCTAACTGGAGTGATATGAAATCTCAGTGTAGTTTTGATTTGCATTTTCCTAATTGCTAAGGATGTTAAACATTTCTTCATGTATTTGCTGAATACATGTATTTTATGTATTTTTTCTTCTTTCTTTCTTTTTTTGGGGGGGGATGAGTGGGTACTGGGGATTGAACTCAGGGGCACTCAACCACTGAGACACATCCCCAGCCTTACATTGTATTTTATTAGAAATAGGGTCTCACTGAGTTGCTTAGTGCCTTGATATTGTTGAGGCTGGCTTTAAACTCGTGATCCTCCTGACTCAGCCTCCCAAGCCATTGGAATTCCACGTGTGTGCCACAGAGCCTGGCGAATATATTTTTCTTTTGACTAGTGTGTGTTTAATTCATTTGCTCATTTATTAATTAGGTTATTTGTTTTTCTGGTGTGAGGTATTTTTTTTGGTCACTTCTTTATGTATTTTGGATATTACTCTTCTGCCAGAAGAGTAGCTAGCAAAGATATTCTCTCATTTTATAGGTTCTTTTTTTCACATTCTTAATTGCTACCTTTGCTGTACAGAAGCTTTTTAAATTGATGTCATCCCATTTATTATGTCCTGAGCATTATGTCCTGGGCTTTAGGGGTGCTGTTGAGAAAGTCATTGCCTGTGCCTATATGCTGGAATGTATAGATTTCTTTAAAAATACATCCTGTAAACCAAAAAAGCTATTAATTAACTGGATTTATGCTACTCTAACATTTATTGGACCTTTTAAAGAAATCTATACACTGAAGGGTATACATTTTCTTCTAGGAGTTGTATAGTTTCTGGTCTAAGGTCTTTGATTCATTTAAGTTGATTTTTGTTCAGGGTAGGAGGTAAAGGTCTAGTTTCATTGTTTTGCATATGGATAATCAGTTTTCCTAGTACCATTTATTTAAAAGACTGTCTTTTCTTACATGTACGTTTTTGGTACCTTTGTCAAAGATTGAATGACTGTGTCTATGTGGGTTTGTCTCTGTGTCTTCTATTCTGTTCCATTGGCCTATGTGTCTGTTTTTATGTCAGTGTCATACAATTTTGTTGCCATAGCTCTGTAATATAATTTGAATTCTGATATTATGATACCTCCATCTTTTTTTTTTTTGTCTTAGAATTGTTTTGGGATTTTGACTTGTTATATTTGAATATGCAGTGAAGATTGTTTTATTGTCTTCTGTTCAGGTGGCATCACACTGTTGTTTGGTAACAATTATTTGAAGCAGAAAAAATTTACAAAAATTGCAGTAAACTGAATTCTATGTGAAAGAACTCAAGCCCAAAACTAATGATATTCKGTGTCACTGGATGATGCCTGAGGAGGTCTCTTGAAGGGAGAAAGGTCTTCAACTCGGCCTGGCAGAYTTTTGACTTACACCATGGAAATCAATTTTAAGCTGCATCAAAAGAGACACAAGTGGAGACTTGTTGAGGAAAGCCAGGTTCATTCAGAAAAGCAAACTATCGCACAGGATAACGACTCAAAGGGAGGAGTAGTGTGGACACTGAMGAGGGAGACATGYTTTGGGGGTCTCRGGCTTCTTCTCTTGAAGGAAACCTTGCAAATAGTGACCATGACAATCACAAGGGGACAGCATCAGCCTGATGAGCCCAATCCCTTTGATTGTGCTGCACAGAGTAGGTCATGGTGGTCTGGTTCTTCGTAAAGTCTTCTGGTTAATGTTACTAGTTACTATATAGCACTTGGACTGTGCCCACATCATGGGTCTTTAACAATCTCTCTCTCTCTCTCTCTCTCTCTCTCTCTCTCAGCTTCTTTTAATCAATCTAAAAATACATTCTTTAAACCAAAAAAAGCTACTAATTAACTGGATTTATGGTACTCTTAACATATTTGATCTTCTGCGGGTGAAGCCTAGGGCATTAATGGAGTTTTTAGATTTAAAGTTACAATCCCACTTTCCTTCTCTGTTGGTCTCCTTTTAACCTAACCATCCCGATCCCCCCTTCGCCCCCCCCACTACCTCATTATGTAAATTAGTTCATCTTATCAGAGAGACATGGGGAAGAAGTTCAGTCTGATTTATTAACCTGAAAAAGGATAATAGAATTCTAGAAATCTCGACTACTTACTAACATCTCTGATATTAGTTTCCTCATCTTTAAGATGAATAMGTAGCTTTAGTACCTTTAATAGTCTAACATCTATGATTTACCATTGTTAATAAATAACAAATGTTTATTGTTGTATTAGAAGTATTAAATCTAAAACGTGTTGGAAAAACCAGTGTTATTTCTAGAGTAAAAAAGTTGTGATGMCAGAAGAACATGTCTGATGAGCTTACWAAGTGAGGTTGTGGGCCTTACTGATACTTCTCCACTAGAGTGGCAAGAGCTCAGGAGTTTTAGGTGGGGGCTTTGGGCTTCAGATTAGTAGAAGGCCAGGGCCCTGAAGATGTGGCTCTTGAGCTATTTCTGGGACATTGTTCTCTGAAGCCACTTCACTTCACAGGATGGCTCAGTTGTATATAATCTGGATGCAACAGACTCTCCTAAGGAGTTTTGCTACAACACACATGTCTGGCCCTGCCTTTCCCAGGACCTGCACAGCCACCCACCCCCATGAGGCACTCAGCAGGGCTGGATTTGGCCATTTCCAAGGTCTTTTCACTTCTGAAATCTTTAGACTTATGGTTTAGCAACTATTGTATCTGTCCCTGCACAGGATCCCCCAACATATACTTTGTTATTTCCATATGTTATCTTCATTCTAACCTTTACCAGTAATAGGAAAGTATTTACCAGTACTATGGAAGTGTTTTTAAACTCTTTTATTGAAGGGCTTTGTAACAAAAAGGACAGTGCAGTGAATCACCATAAAATGAAGACATGTGTGCAACCACCAGTGCAGGTCAAGAAGGAGAACACAGCCAGCACCTGGAGTCAGGCAGAAGCAGTGATGGGGGAGGTGAGTGCACTGCTCCTGTGTGCTGGTCACATTCTACTTTTTTTGCAGAGGGCACTACTGGGGATTCAATTTAGGGACACACAACCACTGAGCCGCATCCCCAGCCCTTTTTTTGGTATTTTATTTAGAGATGGGCTCTCCCTGAGTTGCTTATGCCTCGCTGTTGCTGAAGCTGGCTTTGAACTGGAGACCCTCCTGTCTCAGCCTCCAGAGCTGCTGGGATTACAGGTGTGTGCCACCACACCCGGACACATTCTACTTCTTGACCTGGACTGGTGGTTGCACACGTGTCTCACTCCATGGGTTGTTTTTGAAATGACACTGTACTTTCCTCTGTTGCTTTATCAGAGCATCAGTGCAGCTCAGATTTGTGTTCTAGTGTGCACATATAGAGACTTAATCTTCTTCCTACTTTTTTTTTAGCTCTATGTACATCTTTATTAGAAAAGAAATTAACCATTACCACTAGTTACCACAGAATGAAATTAACAATCTTGCAATTCTAGAGACAAACTTCACAGTAAGGGAGTCTTAAATTTCCAACTTCTGTGTGTGGGTGTGTGTATGTGTTATTTAGGACAGTGTTTCTCAAAATTTGGCTCCTTTCAGACATACTCTTGGGATTTGTTGGGACATATCAGTTTTCTATGCTAATGTTTTAATCTTATATTTTAATTTTGCTGGAATCTAAATCCAATGATACACAGTTGTTCAGAGTGATCTGGAACCATCTTATCTAAGTGTTGCCACACGTTTGCCTCTTGCCCTGCTGCCTCTAGCCACATGACCCTGGTGACCACATGACCAACCCTGTGCTCAACTTTTCCTCACAGGTTCTCAAAATGGGTCCTCATGCCCTTTCAGAATTGTGGAATGTTTCCAATGAGATGTGTGAGATGGCAAGGTGAGAACAATGGCTCCATGCAGTGACCCTGAAGGTTAGATGGGGTGAGTTAGGTTTGAAAAAACACACTCAAAATATCCGGGGATTTCATGATACAAATTGCATAAAGTTATGTTCAGCAAAATGATTTCAGCTGATGGGAAATGGCAGAAAACCAACTGTAGTTTCATCCTTGGAGCATCTGGATAAATATGGTTGAGAAACACTGGCTAGGAGGTAGAGGCAATGCTGGCACACACACGGAATGGTTAATAAGAAACACAAGCTAAAGAGAAAAAAAATTTTTTTTTGGATCAGTGAATACTAAACCAGAACTTGTCATGGTTTTCTGGAATCCAAAGGACCAATCTAGAAGAAAACAGGGATGATCCATCAACCTTCTTGGCCCTGTGGTTAGGGACAAGTTGGTCCACTTTATAATATGGAGGCAAATGAAGAAAAAGCCATTTGTGCTAAAAAATCCCATCCACCAGGAAATGCTGTCCATTTTCTGTGCTGCCATCCAGCTCTGTAGGAGGACATTGGTATGGCCATCTGCTCCACTGTAAATACTTCAGAGCTCCGATCTGCTTCAGCCKMGTCAGCAGTTCCCCGTTCTCTTGCATAGTTATTAGATCACTGCATCCGTCTATACAATCTTTACCAATAAAAACCCGAGGTACCGTTCTCACACCTGTGAGCTGTTGCAAATAATCTTATATTTCATTTGTGTCACCGGTGGCTGTAATATCGACAAATTCCAGAAGCCCTTGTTTGAAGGGCAGTTGACTGAGGATCTCCTGGGTCTTTCTGCAGTAGGGGCAGGTGGGCTTGATGAACACAACGACCTTCCCTGGCTGGATTTTGCCATTCTCAAACTCCTGAGCCATGTGAACAGGTTGCAGTCTCCTGGGAGGAATCCTCAGTTGCGGGTATTGCTCGGAGTGTTAAGCCGCCTCCTTCCCACTTTTAATAAAAGCTTAACTTTGAAATAATTTTAGTTCTACAAAAAAGTTGCAAAGTATAGGAAAAAAGTTGCAACAGTATAGAAAATTTCTGTGTGATGGTTTCAGGTTCCAGTTCAGGAGATTATATTACATCTAGCTACCCTTCTTGAAAGCAAATGCTTGCAGGAATAAGTGAGCTGGAATCAGTGGGATAGGAATCACTTAAGGCTGTGGTAATCTTGGCATATCATTTAGCACATCAGTGGTGTCCTTCCATATTGCTGCAATGAGTTTGGGGACAAAGCTTGATATTTTTATGTTTGAACTTTAAGGAACATATTTTTGTTTTTATGATATTTGATTAATACATCATCTCACAGTGTAATATGTTTTTCCTATTTATTATATGAATGTCTAGCTGAATGATTTTTTCTGTTTTTGGTACCATCCAGTTTTTTATATAATCATACATACCTTACTCACAGTACCCTGTATATATGATTCCTTATTACACAGAGAAAAAATATACATTTATACTTGATGCACAAACTATACCCACCAGAACAAAGAACACAGTCAAAGTTACTAATGCTAACTTTAAAAATAAGAATTTAATAAGAATAGTATATATTTACATATATACTATTATATTTATCCCCTATTGCATGGTAATTGCCTTTTAAAAATTATTTTAGTTGTTCAAAACATTACATAGCTCTTGACATATCATATTTCATACATTTGATTCAAGTGGGTTATGAACTCCCATTTTTACCCTGTATACAGATTGCAGAATCACATCGGTTACACATCCACGTTTTTACATATTGCCATACTAGTGTCTGTTGTATTCTGTTGCCTTTCCTATCCTCTACTATCCCCCCTCCCCTCCCCTCCCATCTTCTCTCTCTACCCCACTACTGTAATTCATTTCTCCCCCTTGTTTTTTTTCCCTTTCCCCTCACTTCCTCTTGTATGTAATTTTGTATAACAATGAGGGTCTCCTTCCATTTCCATGCAATTTCCCTTCTCTCTCTCTTTCCCTCTCACCTCTCGTCCCTGTTTAATGTTAATCTTCTTCTCATGCTCTTCCTCCCTGCTCTGTTCTTAGTTGCTCTCCTTATATCAAAGAAGACATTGTAATTGCCTTTTTATATACATTTTTATTTTGGTAAGAAACACATAACAMAATTGATCTCCTTTTTAATTTAAGGAAGTTTGTAAAAGTAGGTGTTCATTTCCTAAAAAAAGTAGAAAGCAAAATGTTAATTTATAAATATTTACTTAAGAACAGGTATATACTCTTTACAGTTTTATTTTTATATTTTCTTGGATGTCAGAATGAATCATGGGAACAAGTCAATTTGATTTAAAATGAAAGAAACCACAGGGACAATTGAATTCTAGTTGCTATTTATACTCTAGTTACTCTTATCAGGCTGTAAAGCAAGAATGCAAGAAGACTGCTGACATGGAAGGCTTCCTGGGGAGTTGGGAAGGAAGGCAGAATTGGGAGCAAAAACTAGTGGTTTGGAGAGAGATGAGAGATGTTCAAAATGAAGTGCACACCTACCTCTTTCCTAGTCTTTGAAGCCATCCTCCATGATCTTTAGGTTTGAATTTTACTAACATGTAAAGCATTTATAGATATTTGAAAAGTAGCATCTCTCGCTCATAAGATGTCTTTGGCCTACTCCAGTGCTTGCTCAATGGGCTTTAGAACAGAATTGTCTAGGTGGTAGGGAGGAAGTGTTCATTGTGTTCTGTGACAGGTGGGGCTGTCACCAAAACTGATGGACTGAGGGCTATTGCTGGTGCTTGAGCTGTCAGCAGGGCTGATGCTGAACTTTCTCCATGGTCCTGCCCTTTCTGGAGACCAGACCAGCCAGAAACTTTGTGGCAAGATGACAATATTCAATGACTGAATGATTGTCCCCAATGTCAGTGAGGATCAGTGTCTTGGATTATAGGTCCTAAAGACAGCATTAACTTTGCAGACATTTTTTTGTATTATCTATGGCTATTTTTTTTCCCTTTGATAGCCAAGTAGTTGTGACAAAGACCATTGTCACTCACAAAGACTAAATTATCTACTATCTGTCCCTTTATATTTAGTTTATACACCCTTACATTAAACCAAGGAGTTCTGCTCCCAGTAGTTGGAATATTCAGGTCTGTGAACCAAGCAATATTGGTGTCTCTCCATACTGTTTACATTAACTCATTTGTAGAATTTATATTCCCATCTCTAAAGCTTTTGGCCCAGTTGGATTAAATATTCTGAATCCTAAAGAGTAGAGGGAGAGATGCACCTACAAATGTAGTAAGGGTTCCAAAGAATCACATTGTGCCTGCTACTTGGCCACTTAGGAACTTTCACACAGTGGAAGAGCAGTGATCAAAGGAGTTAAGTACTGGCTTTCCCTGTCATCTTGAAGGTTCTGGTTACTGCTGCATAATGGGYATCGAATTCACAGAGGCATCTTGGTGTTTCCTTCAGCCCTCAGGACTGAAGAAGGTTGCTTAGTAGAGCTTGAGTATTGGCCAAGAATGAGGAAACTCTGGAAAAGATGGTATAAAAGAGAAGCAATAAATAGTGACCATAGCCTGTGAGGGGCAGTAGCAATGGAGACCAGCTAGTATTTTTTTWAAATATTTTCTCAGTTGTTGATGGATATTACTTTATTTTATTTATGTGAGGTGCTGAGAATTGAACCAAGCACCTCACACATGCTAGGTAAGTGCTCTGCCATCGAGCCACAACCCCAGCCACAGAGACTAGTTAGTTTTATGAACCCTCTGGTATTTTGTTTTCTAGAAAGTATAAATGGCTTCTCAGTCAAATAGTCTAGAGTGGAATTCAGGTGGATGTAAGTGTTTAGTAAGGTGGATCTGAGTGATGTGATGGACCGGCTGAAGTGGGTGCTGTTGTACAGTCATATCTCCTCTGTGCTCCTCCATGTTTGGTTGCAGCTGTGGTGGACAGTTCCATATGAGCTGAGATAATTCAAACAGCATCTATCCTCCATCTGCACCACACCTCKCTCCACTTCTCTGCTCTTAGACCTGCTCCTAATCTGGAAGACACTTAGCTTTTATGCAAGCATAGCTGGAAGGTGCAGGGGTTAACACCCCATGAGCACCCACAACCAACAGGCATCAGGCCAAGGAGAAATGCCCCAGACTTACTGTTTTTCAGTGATTATGGGGGGCATTCCTTTCTACTGTCAGAGAGGAATTCAGCCCCTGCTGCCTACAGAGACCAAGTCAACAGCACACCTGTGTATAGGTTTTCCTGATGCACTATGTTTTTTACTCCAGTTTCCTAATAAACCTCCCAGAGAAGCTACCTATATCAAGTTCTTATCTTGGCTCTTCTTTCAAATTATTATATTATGGTTAGATATTAGGTATCCCTTAAAAGTTCATGTGTGATACAATGCAAGGGRGTTTAGAGGTAAAATGATTGGGTTATGAGAGTCTCAACCTAATCAGTGAATTAATTCCCTAATAAGGATTAACTGGGTGGTAAACCTAGGGATGTAGGGTGTGGCTTCAGTAGGTGGGTTAGTGGGGACTGTGTCTTTAGGGTATATATTTGTCTTTTTTGGGAAGAGAACTTTCTCTGTGCTTCCTGGTGCCATGTTCCCAGATGCTTTCCTCTGCCACACACTTGAGCCACGATGTTCTGCTTCACCTCAGGCCTCAAGGAATGGAGTCAGCCATCTGTGAACTGAGACCTCTGAAACTGTGAGCCCCAAATAAACGTTTCCTCCTTAAAATTGTCTTGTCAGGTCTTTTGTTAACAGCAGTGAAAAAAGGTGACTAAAATGGAAACAGGTCCCAAGAAGTGGGGTTATTATTGTGACTATGTGGTTTGGAAGCTTTTTGGAATTTGTGGGAGAAATTTTGAAAAGTTTAGAGATGCAAGATGGAAAAGCTTTAGAATTTTGTAAGCAGAGCTTGATGGGCAATTCTGGTGGGTGCTCAAAAGACCAGAAAGCTGATAGGACTCCAGACAGTAAAGACTAGACTCATGAGGTTTTAGAGGAAAAAAGGGAGTGCATTCTGTCAGCGGCCAGGCTGATGAGATGAGCTGGGTTCAGAGGAGTTGGCTGTATCAATAACTATGAAAATGGCGAAGAAACCACACAAGCATGAAAATACCTTTTTCTCAATTGCTAGAGTTGGGGACTACTCTGAGACCTCAGATATCAGCTCCCATGCTGGAGGGCAAGGGGAGCAAGGGAGGCAAGAGGAGAGAGAGAGCACACCCCAAACCCCTCTATTTACTGGGGGGAAGGACATTCGATAGAAAGTTCCACCTAAATAAGGCAAGGGATTGGGTTTTGAAGGGTGGAGTCTTGCTTGGTGATGTCTGTGGTCAGCAGATTGATTGACATCTTGGCAAGTCACTCGCATCACATCACATCTGTGTGGGATTATAGGCAGATCAAGAGAAAAGGCACACTTGTGTGGCACAGCCCAATCAATGTGCAACACCAGACCAGTCCCCTCATACACTCTAATGCACATAGCTTGTACACACAGCCCTTGGAGGGCTCACAACAGTATTGGAAATTGAACTAGAGGCCATTCCTGTTACATTATGGCTAAGACATTGTCTAAATTTTCTGCGTGTACTGAGACTTTGAGGCTCAATTTATTTATTTTTTTCAACCAAGAGATTTTATTGGGAAACTGCCTGAAGGAAAGGAGAGGCAGAGAGCAGAGAGAGGACAGGAGGAGGGCAGAGAGAAAGAGGAGAGAGAGAAGAGGAAGAGGGCAGAGAGGAAGAAAGGAAGAGTGCAGAGAAAGAAGAGGAAGAGGGGAAGAGGGGAGAGAGAGAAGAGGAAGAGGGTAGAGCTTGAGGCTCAATTTAAATGTGATGAACTAATTAATCTGGTGGAGAAACTTTCAAGAAAGCACAGCCTTTGTGAGGT